GAAATGGACGAATTCCTCTGGTGTCCCCACCTCCCCTACTGTTCTGGTAAAATTTACCTGGACGAACTCCTCTGGTGTCCCCACCTCCCCAACTGTTCTGGTAATATTTACCTGGACGAATTCCTCTGGTGTTCCCCCTCTGTTCTGATAAAGGTTCATCATAGAGAGGAAGGGGTCGGGGGAGTAGGCCAGCTTCCCCTTAATCTCTTGCTTCGTGAATCCAATATAGTTTGCAAAATGCTTCCAGTTGGATTCCTTAACAAAAAATGTAAAAATATAATTTTCATTGTATTAATCAAGAGGGTTAAAAACAAACATCTAGATTAAACTATTTTTAAAGTCGGAAATTGATGTCATTCCCATTTTCTTGGGCCTGACAGTGACAATTATCCTCCAATTCACTAGGGATACACATCATTTCATAATTATCCTCCAATTCACTAGGGATAAACACCATTCCATAATTATCCTCCAATTNCCTCCAAGCCACTAGGGATACACATCATTTCATAATTATCCTCCAATTTCATAATTAGTTTTTAACATTCAGGGTTATTTTACTTATTAGAGGCTCCACAAGATTGTATGTTCTATAAGTTTGATTATATAAATTTGTGTAAAATAACGTTTAGAATAAACACGGTTTGTGTCCAAAACAAATAATTCTTTTTTCAAAGCAAAAATATTGCTTAATTTCATCATTATTATCATTATAATTATCAGAAATAGATTAATTTAAAAAAAAATAAACCTTTGAAATTTTAATGTATAAAATCAACCCAACAACTATGGTCAATACCCCTCTCTACCAAACACCGCATGAAAGACAATAAGTTACCTCCATCAAAGCAAGATGACCTGCAAGCTCCTTCACAGCTACCACAGACCATCTACAATACAAATTAAGTTTTAAGATGTTGGTTAACACATTTTATTCACACATTTTTTTCAGATAATTAGAATTATGAAATGTCTCGAAGTAACTAAAAACGAAGCAACTTATTTAAATGACTTTTCTAAAACCCAGATTAGAGCCTAAACTAAGCTTAAAATTTCTCGATAATTAGCTATAAACAAATAAGATGTTGTTATATTGTATTGTATTGTGGTATAGTGAGAACCAGAAAACAGTGGAGTTATTGTCGCCTTCTTTTTTCTCTTTTGGTTAGAAAATACAAAATTCTAAAATACATTTTTAGTGTTCAAGAAAAATGACTTAGTTTTATATAACCTAGAGAGATAGTTGGGATGGAAAAAGTGCGATAATGAAATCACAAAATAAATTCTAAAATGTGTGTAGCGACCTGTCTGAAGTATCTTGAGGTTGAATTTCTGTTTCTACGCCAGACTTCTGAAGATTAAATTCAAACAGATTCTCTTTCTCACGCTCTGATCCAAACCGGTCAACCACAACCTAGGAATCAATTAATCAATCAATTAATTGTAAATTTAGAATTTCCATCATAGCCCGAAGGGTCACTTGTAATTACGAGTGCAGTCTCTTCAAAGCGTCACAACTACTCAATAGTAATCAAGGTTGCTTTACTCTCAAATTATAAAAACATTTAAAACTTCTTTAATCTTTAATTAATGAAAAATTACCTTTTAATTTTAGCCACCCTACCCCCACCCCTTTCTTTTATCTTTAAACCCCTTCAGTCTTGAGAATATGGAACCCAGTTGAATTTGGAATCCAAATAGTGTATTGGGAATACACAATATTAAATTCACTTCAGCTACATACAGGAGATCAGATACACAAAATAATATGTTGTAGCAAATACCAAGTATATTTTGAAAATATACTTGGTATTTGCTACAACAAAACAAAAAACCATAACCACAATAATGAATAAAACAAAAACAAAAGACAAGGATATAACAAGAAATACCGGACAATAAACAACAAAAATAGAAAACAAGGATATAACAAGAAATACCGGACAATAAACAACAAAAATAGAAAACAAGCATATAACAAGAAATACCGGACAATAAACAACAAAAATAGAAAACAAGGATATAACAAGAAATACCAGACAACAAACAACAACAAAAAAACAAGGATATAACAAGAAATACCAGACAATAAACAACAAAAATAGAAAACAAGGATATAACAAGAATTACCGGACAATAAACAACAAAAAGCAAGAAAAAATATCTAAATACGAATACCAAACAACAAACATCAATATAAGCACAAAAAAACAAATAAAAAACAACAAATACCAAACAGCAAACGACAAAAATCTAACTAAAATGCCAGACTAGCCTAACAATAAACAACACAATTAAACAACAAACACATAATATTAAACAAAGAACCACAAATAACAAACATTAAACAACAAAGACCATGCACTCAAGTTCAGGAGACACTGAATAACAAGCAATAAAAACACCTAACAAACAAAAGCATGCCACTAAAAACAAGTAAAGATCTCAATCAAAAACTGTTTTTTTTACCTTTCCAAATGTTCCTCTCTCGACCTTCTGTGTATCCCGGAAGATGCAGGCGAACTGCTTCTCGAAGTCCCTACCCCTGAAGTCAGGTTCCTCCTTCTCCATATTTTCCTCTTCCCCAGCACTCACGTCAGCTTGGAACTTCTGGGACCTACGTAGATACATATTTTGGTTTCTGTGCGTGGTATTAAAGGGACTGTAAGCATAATTTCAAGTGACCCTCCATTTCACAACGGTACCCCTTAAACTCTTGACTGACCAGTGACCAAGGATGTCAGACATTGCCTCTTTAATCTATTGAAACGCTCTCTATTGTGATACACTTTGTTTGCAAGCTGTTATATATTTAAGAATGTGGATGTGGCAGTAAATAAAAATTTACTTTCGAATGTTTGAAAATATTAAAAAGATGATATTTTCAGGTGACGCTTAGGAGTAAAGGAACAGATGTTTTGAGTTTAAACTGTACACAGCCTGCACCAAGTTTCAGAAAGATTCAACAGCTATTTAACACATTTACACACAGAGCTCTCTCTACTCTATAAACAATCAAAGGTTTTTAGTGAAAACCTACACATAAGCCGGACGACTATTATAGAAAATTACACCTAAGCCGGACGACTAATCATGTAAAACTACACATAAGCCGGACGACTATCATAGAATAACTATGCATAAGGGTCATTCCATGTCAAGCCAACCACCTTTGAACGGAATGTTACAGATTTTACTGAAATTTTGCATACAACTTGGGATATGAAAAAAATCCCGGAACCCGAAGATGAGCGTTTTAAGACCTCCGAGGCCGGAGTTATGGCTCCAGAAAGTTACCGATATTTCGAGAATACGAGGACGGCCTCTATGTTTCAAATTGCTCTAACTTTTTTGTTTTTAAATATAGCTCAAATTTTTTTTCAGTTTTGAATCGGTTATCACAATCTTGTGATTACTTGCCTATTTAAAACTGAAAAAAATTTGGAGCTATCTTTAAAAACAAAAAAGTTAGAGCCATTTGAAATATAGAGGCCGTCCTCGTAATCTCGAAATATCGGAAACTTTCCATCAGGTGGCTGACACCCATAAGCCAGACGACCATCAAAGTAAAACTACACATAAGCCGGACGACTTATCATGTAAAACTACACATAAGCCGGACGACTATCATAGAAAACCTATACATAAGCCGGACGACTATTATAGAAAACCTATACATAAGCAGGACGACTATTATAGAAAACCTATTAGAGAAAACTGTACCTGAGTCCGAGAACTATATAGAAAACTATACCTGAGTCCGAGAATTATATAGAAAACTATACCTGAGTCCGAGAATTTTATAGAAACTATACCTGAGTCGGATGAGTATTTTGCCAGGACGAACAAGTTTAGGTTTAAGACAAGATCCAACACAGTATCTATAGTTTGAGTTCTGAATCTGCTCAGGGTTAGCTTCAGCATTGTAGCAGATCACCTCCAGGCCGAAGGAATTCGTGTCAGGGTTCTCCTCCATATACGCCTAGCAAGAAGCACAATCGAAATTCCATCCAATCCAATCCAATCCAATCCAATCCAATCCAATCCAATCCAATCCAATCCAATCCAATCCAATCCAATCCAATCCAATCCAATCAAACCAATTCAAATCAAATCAAACCAAACCAAACCATATCATATCAAATCAAATCAAATCAAATCAAATCAAATCAAATCAAATCAAACCAAACCAAACCAAACCCAACCAAATGAACTGAAACCTAACCAAACCAAACGTCTAGAAACATGCTACTTCAAAACTGCAATTTCTGAAAGCATTACAAAGCATTACGATAAAAATAACAGAAATTATTTCAAAATAACAACAACTAAAAATACATTAATCACCACGAAAAAATATTATCATAAATCCGTCAATTTCAGCAAAAAAAATGTATGTTTAACAATAATTTGGACAAAAAACCATAAATAATAGACTAAAAAAACAACTAACAAAATTAGTTCTAATAAAATTCAATGAAAACTTACATTATAAAAAAATTATTAAATGCTATTTTTTACAATACCTGGCATTTCATAGGGAATGATATCCAAGGATAAAAGTATGAAACTCCCATTTTAGCCTCGTAAAGTTTATTGGTCAGTATATCCCAGACAACCTGACCAAACCAAACCAAATATTAAAAATCGTCTTGATTGGGCAGGGCCCAGGGACGGATACAGGGGTGAGCCTTGAAGCAAAGGATCACACCCTGGACAATTGCTTCCCCATAAAGCATTGGGGAAGCTACAGAAAATGGAAAAAATGTTTGCTCACCCTGGTAAATTCCTATTGGTAGAGTGATAGAACATACTAACAGTGGTATCCATTCAAATCAGATCAACAATGTGGGTATTTTCCAGCAGCAAGCAAGCGGTAAGTCCTCAATGTACAGTTCATATAGTGAAACCCATATAACTGTGAGGAATAGCTCCTATTCCTCCTATACACATTACACAAACCCTTTTTGCTTAATAAGTTGATTTTAAACCTACTGGCTGCTGGTAGGGGCTTTTTACCAGTGCTGCTGGCAGGGCTTTTTACCGGATCCGTAAGATTTATGCTTCCTGGATCCGGATTCTCAAAAATATGCGGATCCACGGATTGAATCCAATTCTGTAATGTTTCATAATTTCCACAAAAAAGTTAAAACTGTTGACTGTTGAGTATATAGAATATCCAAGTCAGAATTTATTTTCTGCTGGATTTAATTTTGAATTCAGAATTGACAAATCGTTTAGAAACAAGAATATTGAATGCATCAATCTTTTTAATATTAAAAAATATTCAAAAAAAAGTATTATAAATAGTTTTATGAACTTTTACATAAAAATTACAGATTCTTCTGAACATGATGATTTGTTTTAAATCATCATTTTGATTTTATTTTATCTTGTGGGATGACTAAGTAAACACTTTACCGCAGTGAAATATTTCATGAATAAAGAAACTGAACACTTGTCTAGAGTTTCATGAACGTATTCATTTTCATTAAGACATATTATATTTAACGTTCTTGTAATTGGAATCATGACGAGACAGATTCATGAACTAAACAACTAATAAGTGGGGATTAATGATAGATTAAAATACGAACAGAGCTTGGGACTCTTGTATTGGTGGATATCGAGATCATTGCTTGATCTTTTGTTAATCTGCTGATTAATTTAATCTTTAATTGTGCCCAGTTAGGTAGTGTCGACAGTGGATATCCATTAAAGCGATCGGGATGAGTATCCTGCACAAAAGTTCCCAGCTCATATGAAATAATAAATGACTATCTAAAATTAAATCTTCAAGGGACTTAAAATTAATCAATATTGTTAAGAAGTTTAAAATTAACAATAATTATAAATTCAAAAATAGATTTATAAATTAACATAATGCATCAACATATCATAAAAATTTAGTTTGGTTATTTTCCTTGAAAAATGTAAAATGAAAAGTAGGGAAAGAGATTGACACAAGTCCACACCTAAAAATATTTAACGTTCAAAAACATTATATTTAAAAAATATATAAGTAATTTTATGGCAAACATCCACCCTCTCTCTCTTTCTAAAAAAAACCTTTTGATCTAAAAGTAGTTGACTGGTTCAAACTGAAAATTACGTTTTAAAAAAAAAATATTGTGTCCCCCAAATTAAGAAAACTCTAATCCCCATATCATTAAAAAACATAGAATTAACAAATGCTATCCAAGATGTACTCAGCAACACTGATAGGTTATAACGATGTTGGCGGTTTAGAAAGTGCTCGAAACTATAGCAGGTGTTTTCCTCCTCCCTCTTTACAAAGTCACAATGGTAAGTCCCCCATACCGCCCTGCCTTAACATACTGGTGTACGTACACTGTACAGTAGTACTCCGTTCTGCACTGCCCGGTATTTTGTGACATATATACAAAAAACAGTCACTATAAAATACATGCAGATAACAGCATGTTTTACAGTTAAAGATATATATCAAAATATATATTTATATATTTATAAATAAATACAGATAGATAAATATGAAGATAGATAAAGATAAATAAAAATATATAAAGATAGATATATGGATAAATAGATATAAATATAAGAAAAGAAGTATTCAACACAAAAATTAAATTTTTAATAGATAGTTAGTTAGATAAATAAATAGATAAATAGAAACCTGTAGTGATGTACACTTAACCTCTCAACCTCCACTAATTCCCAGTTTAAAGGATCATCCTCCCTTAAACAAGGAACACATTGTTTAACTATCATATATTTAACTTACCGATAAGTCTCACCAATAAACTAAATATTAATCTTTTTTTGTGAAACTGGACGCCTCTCTTATAGCAAAAGTTGACCATCAATTGCCCCTTCTATTTGTAAAACTCAAAATTTTGCGGAATTTTCTGTCAATATGTAAACATTTTTAAAATAAAAAAAAGTCAATTTGTTCAGGTAAAATTTTTCACTTTATTGGTGAATAAATGAATAAATGAATAAATGAATAAATGAATAAATGATAGGATGAATGAATGAATGAATAAAAGGATGAACAAATTAATGAATGATTAAATGACTGAATAAATAAATGATTAGATAAATGAAGAAATAAAATATTTGTATTTTATAATGGCGTATTTGACATTTTAAATGAATTTAATTGAACATATTACCTTGTACTGGACTGCCATATTGCAAGTGTAGCACGCGGCCACAGCTCGTGAATTTCTCTAAAAAACGAATTTCATTTGGTTTAACAATAAAAAATATTTAATTCTAATGATTAGTTTTCAATAATCATAAATTTTGAAAAAATAGCTATGAACTCGTTAATTAAAAAATATTTCCAGCCTTGTACTCTGTTCTTCTTTAAACATATATTATAAAGCAAAAGTGTACTGCGCGCTGTACAGTGTACAGTGTACATAAATCGGAAGCAAGGTTTCGTGAATTTAAGGATTTTTTATGGATGGATATCAACATTTTGGTCAAAGGGACTGTAGATGTAATTTGAAGTGATCCTCCCTTCAAAAAGAAGCATGCCCAGTTCACAACAGTACCTTTAAACCTTTATCTGATCAACAAGGTTGAAGAAGTCGTTTACTATCTTTATATATTTTTTAATTTGGTAATTCGGACATTAATGTTCTGCAGAAGAAATACACAAATAACTTTTGTTAAGAAACCACAATTGAAATTGATCAACTTTAAAAGTCATTAGATCAGACAAAACTTTTAACGGTACCGTAGTGAATCTGACATGTCACTCTAAAAATGAAATTACGTCAAGACCCTTAAAAATATTATTTATTTAGGTTTTGGTTCGTTGTAAAGTAATGAACTGAACTGTGAGTGACAGTGCATGCACTGCATATGAATTTATGTAAGAAAGTCCCGTGAAACAAGTTTCCGAAAAAAAACCAGGAAATAAAAACGTTGGAAAAAGCTCCGAATTTTCTCAAGTCCTTGGAGAAAATGTCACTGGAAATAAAGTCCTGTGATTTGGATTCCTTTGACTTTTCCCCCTAAAATAGTATAAAATAGTATGGGGGGCTGCCAATAAAGTCTCAGGAAATAAGATCACAGGAAATAAAGTCCCGAAGAAAATATATCCGAAGAAAAAAAAAACCCAAGAAAAAAGTCCTAAATCTTGTGAAAATGAGGTCAAGTTTAAAACGTTTAAAAAAAGACTTTTTTATGCATCTGCACTTTGTATATAGCCATGGGTGTTTTTAATATCAATTGCGCCTTTTTTTGCATGGTTGTAAACATCCTTTGTTCACATGCATTTTCTATTATAAGAGGACTTTTATGTTTTTGTATAAAATTAAACTGGAGCAAGAAAAAAAGTCCTAGAAAATAAAGTCTCTTTTTGGTAGGACTTTATTTCCTGAGACTTTTTAATAAGAGGATTTTTTCCATAAGACTTTTTTATTGCGAAATATTAGGACTTTTTTTCCGGAAACTTTTTTCTAAGAACTTTTTGGGCGGTTACCACTGAATATTATGATATCTATATTACTAATCTGCAAGTGTAAAGTGTACTGTATTATGATATTTATACTACTAATCTGCAAGTGTAAAGTGTACTGAATATTATGATATCTATATTACTAATCTGCAAGTGTAAAGTGTACTGCATATTATGATATTTATACTACTAATCTGCAAGTGTAAAGTGTACTGAATATTGTGATATCTATATTACTAATCTGCAAGTGTAAAGTGTACTGCATATTATGCTATCTATACTACTAATCTGCACTGTAAGTGTACAGTGTACTGAATATTATGATATCTATATTACTAATCTGCAAGTGTAAAGTGTACTGCATATTATGATATCTACACTACTAATCTGCAAGTGTAAAGTGTACTGAATATTAAAATATCTATATTACTAATCTGCAAGTGTAAAGTGTACTGCATATTATGATATTTATACTACTAATCTGCAAGTGTAAAGTGTACTGCATATTATGATATCTATACTACTAATCTGCACTGTAAGTGTAAAGTGTACTGCATATTATGATATCTACACTACTAATCTGCACTGTAAGTGTACAGTGTACTGCATATTATGATATTTATACTACTAATCTGCACTGTAAGTGTGAAGTGTACAGCATATTATGATATTTATACTACTAATCTGCACTGTAAGTGTAAAGTGTACTGCATATTATGATATCTATATTACTAATCTGCAAGTGTAAAGTGTACTGCATATTATGATATCTATACTACTAATCTGCACTGTAAGTGTACAGTGTACTGCATATTATGATATCTATATTACTAATCTGCAAGTGTAAAGTGTACAGCATATTATGATATCTATACTACTAATCTGCAAGTGTAAAGTGTACAGTGTACTGCATATTATGATATTTATACTACTAATCTGCACTGTAAGTGTACAGTGTACTGCATATTATGATATCTACACTACTAATCTGCACTGTAAGTGAGTGTACTGCATATTATGATATTTATACTACTAATCTGCACTGTAAGTGTAAAGTGTACTGAATATTATGATATCTATATTACTAATCTGCAAGTGTAAAGTGTACAGCATATTATGATATTTATCCTACTAATCTGCACTGTAAGTGTACAGTGAACTGAATATTATGATATCTAATACTACTAATCTGCACTGGAAGTGTACATTGTACTGGATATTATAATATCCATACTACTAATCTGCACTGGAAGTGTTCAGTGTACTGCATATTATTATATTTATACTACAAATCTACACTAGAAGTGTACAGTGTACGGCATATTATGATATTTGTACTACAAATCTACACCAGAAGCGTACAGTGTACTGCATATTATTATATTTATACTACAAATCTACACTAGAAGTGTACAGTGTACGGCAAATTATGGCATTTATACTACTTATCTACACTGTATGTGTACAGTGTACAGCATAATATGATATGTATCCTCTTTTCTAACCTGTAATGTGGAACCGGAAGTTCAATTTCCACTGGTTTCCGGTTAATATTGAACTGGTATCCAGGGGGCCCAACCATAATTATAGGACAAGCCAGGCTTCCTTCAACGTTGGATACATCACCTACAAAACACAAGAATTGTTTCTTAAGCGCCATAAGACGTCATTAATTACAAACCGCCAAGATGGCGTCATTTAAGTGGAGACAATCGCGAAAGAAACCTATTCATATGATTTAAGTAACCTAATAATAATTTGCTACGCAAAAACCTGACAATCTTATATTTACTCAATGCTCAACATGTCATAGTGAACTGGAAAAGGAAGTTGATCGATGCTTTGAAAAATTCATTCCTTCGTAAAAAGCTGTTTTTTTGGTGCGAAAATTTCCTGGAACCCGCGAATCTAAAAACTTTCTTATGCATGTGTCTAAGTCACAACCAGCTCTTAACAAAGGAATGCCAGTTAGACTCAAAAAAATTAATATAAATTTAAACCACCTCGGGATGACAAACCTTTGGGTCACGTTGTATTGCATAAAGTTTGATAAAGTGGAATCTTAAAAAAAAACTTTATAAATTTCAAAAAAATGAGTTTCAGTGATAATTATTTTATCCGGAATACTGCTAAAATTGTGCTCACTAGAAAATACCGCGTGGAGAAAAGACGATTTATAGCTTATTGGGATACCCCGTAGCTTCCACCCTTGAGCCTAAACTGTCAGCTGACAGCAATATGGAAGATGCATCCGCCCTGGATTTTAAATTTAATCCTGACATCTTGAGTTTTAAATTAAATTGTCAACTTTAAATTATTCTTCAACTGTCACTTGTCAGTCTGCAAACATTATTCAAACTATTCAAGTGAAAATGGAAAAGTTTTTTTCAGGAGTTAATTTTTTTTTAAAATCTTTATCCATAATATCAAAACTCCACGCCCAAACATATGGCAGAATTATAAAGGATGGTTTTGAAAAGCCATTTTATAAGAAAACAATTAAGTTTTATTTAAGATGAATTCCTATTTTCATAATTATTTACCCCAGAAGTTAAAACATATTTTCACCGTAGAAAATGATTTTAAAATTTAAAAAACAAGTATGACAACTACATTAGATCCACAATGATCACTGGTATCAATTCACAAACCTAGAAGATACCATTCTTCCAGCAGATGATCATTAGTTCCTAAAAAAATCCTCTACATATTCCTAGATGGAACACTGAGGATCAACACATAAGTATCAAGTAAGTAAATGGAGTAGTTATGTTTCAGTGAAAAAACGAGATCAATCAAATGTAATTATAAAAACCCTACCTCTCGTTGGGTTAGTGGGTTCATGGTCGTAGAGGACTTTAATACTAGCTTCTATATCAACATCACAGGAACCGCGAGGGAAGGTTACCTAATTAAACAGATTGTTCACGTTTTTTTGTATAAGCAACAATAATCCTTCTGTAACTAAGCAGGTCAACCACTACTCAAAAATAAAATTTTTAAATATGGTCATCGTAGGAATTTTTCAGGGGGCTGGGGCTTATCCCTTCATATCTCCCCCCCNCCCCCCCCGTGAAAATGGTGAATGTGATAATTTTGTAATGAAATACAGACGCCATGCTTCGTCAGAATCTGGAATCCATCACTACGAATTACTAATCTTATTCTATCTTATTTCTTTTTCTCTAGGACAATTCTTATTCATTTCTTCTCTTTTTATTTAGTACTTGATTGTAAACCTAATAAATAAATATTATTCAGAAAAGAAGATCGATAAAACAATCGTTCGAGTCTGTGCAGAATTTATGACATTAAACAAAATTCCTACTTCAAAATGACTGAATTTTAAAATTTCAAAAGTTTGATCTTCTTTTCAACTTTACTTGACGGAGATATTAGCATTTAACAATGTCTTAGTTTAATCTTATTATTATGAAACTATTATTGTTGATATTTAGATTATATAAAAAGAACAAAGATTTAATAACATAAAGGGCTAAAATGAACTACTTTTATATTTATTATTTATATTTAAATGAGAGTTAAGTTTAACCTCGAAATTTTCCCCCAAATGCAATAAGTGAAATACAAAGAGCATGTAATGCATGTCTTTAGCAGCTAAAAAGTATTTTTTCTTTATTTTCACAAAAAATGCAGGATTATGCATATATTTTATCAAAAGATCATTTCCTCTCCATTACTCTTTCATTTTTGTAGCTATAATAGTTTAAATAATGGATTTTTGTTAAAAAAAGTATCGCAAAGGAGGAAAAAACTTGCCGATTGAAATAGCATTATCATTCAACCCCCCCGAACCCCTTAAAAAATTCCTAAAATTACCTTGAGTCCCGGATGTGAGGGCATCTGTAGGCTTCCGCCGATTCTCCGCCTTATTCGCTTTTTTACTTCCGGTAAGGGTTCCTGAATGTAAGTTGGAAATCAAATAAAAATAAAATAATTTAAATATTCAATAGTTGCTGAAGTAAATTAACATATCTGATATCTAAACATTTCATGCTTTATTTTCTACAGTTAAGTTTACACAACATTACTGTACAACAATTCAATGCGTTTGGAAACTACTCAGTAAAGGTAGTACAATCCTACAATATACAATAAGGAAGTTATTTCCTATAACAAACCAGAGCTGAAAACTTTAGAATGGTGGATATCAGGATTAAGGCTTAAACCACTCTTTTTCTTAATATCCAGTTTAAATATTGCTTGTTCTCCACATGAACTTAAACTCCAGAGAAGCAACATTATCTGACAATTGGATATTTCATTCTAAAGTTTTCAGCTCAGATAGGATAGGTGAAAACCTTTTTTTAACTAATGAAGATATACATTAGTTTTTCTATATACAAAAAAAACATGAATTTAGATTGTGCCAAAAATAAGGTTGTATCCTAAGTTTAATTGCAAAGTAAAAGCGAAATTACTGATAAGACTTTACGACCTCATAACGCCTCAAGTTCTCATTTTAAATCAAAGAGTTAGAAACTTTTTATTTTTATCAGTTGCTCTTAAAAAAGAAAGTTGAAAACACGCCAGATTTAATGCTAAAGTTTGTGTTTGAGGGTTAAATTATAAACTATTGTAATGAGAGCCAGGTAGCAGGTTTGTAGGATAATATGACCGGAATGATATCTATAGCCGGAGTGTTAACCTTATAAACTATTTGTAAAGAAAGCCAGGTAGCAGGTTTGTAGGATACTATGACCGGAATGGTATCTATAGTTGGGACTATGCTTACATTATAAACTATTGTAAAGAGAGCCAGGTAGCAGGTTTGTAGGATAATATGACCGGAATGGTATCTATAGTTGGGACTATGTTTACCTTATAAACTATTGTAAAGAGAGCCAGGTAGCAGGTTTGTAGGATAATATGACCGGAATGGTATCTATAGCTGGGACTATGTTTACCTTATAAACTATTGTAAAGAGTGCAAGGTAGCAGGTTTGTAGGATAATATGACCGGAATGGTATCTATAGCTGGAGGATGGTAGGGTCTGCCAACTCACAGGCTCTACATAAATTGAAAATATAATTTTCTCCACAACCCCCGCAAGTGTTTGCATATTACAAAATCTGCTTGAAACGAATAGTGAGAAAAAGTAATTATTTTTCTTCTTTCCGCCAATCCATTGCCTCACATCACCTCAATTTCAGGTTTTAAAAACAAACAATCTTGCACTGCACTGCACTGCCTGTACTGTACTCTACTGTACTGTCTGTACCGTACCGTGCCGTGCCGTGCTGTGCTGTACTGTGCTATACTGTACTGTACTGTACCGTAGCGACAGCGTACCGTACCGTACCGTACCGTACCGTACTGTGCTTGTACTGAATATTAAAATANGTACTGTACTGTACTGTACTGTACTGTACTGTACTGTACTGTACTGTACTGTACTGTACTGTACTGTACTGTACTGTACTGTACTGTACTGTACTGTACTGTACTGTACTGTACTGTACTGTACTGTACTGTACCGTACCGTTCTGTACTGTACTGTACTGATCAAATAATTTCTCCGACCTGAAATATTTGTATTTGAGAAGAGAACGTTGATCCATGAAGGAGACTCCAGATCTACGTTGACCGGCAGGATGAGGTAGGCCGGGTGTGTCACAGGGAAACATGAACCGTGGGGGGAGATATCAACTATCTAATCAGAGAAACAGTAGAACATGGAGATTAGAGCAAAAACATAATAATTGTCTTGATTTCGGAACATTTGAGACTTTTGAGATTTGCAAAATGTGTTCTACTATTTTTGTATGACAAAGATGTTGGACTAAGATGTTAAAATTAAAACAATTTCCATTTTTAAGACAATTGAAAACTGGGACGGAACATAGTTTAGAAATCCTAAGATTGGGTGAATAATCAGGGGCGTAGTGGAGGCGGTACCCCTATGCACCCCCTAGACCCCCGCTAGAGCCATATACATATATATTCAGATTTTTCTTTTCTTATCAATTGACACAATTCGTGTATTTAATGATAATTTCTCAAATTCTTTCTTGTACCTTAATCTTATTTACAATATTTTTTTTTTCGCGGGGTTTCATTTAAAATTTATTTCAGTCTCTCAGAGCAAGATGTTTGAGCAGAATTTTATTTAGCTTTAAATAATACTGTCTCCAGTGTAATCAAGTCATAATATGATTGATATTGATAGGATTTATGATATATGAATATAGTCAAATCAAATCAAATCACAAAGGGCGGGGATGACAGTGGACTCCAGTAATGGATTGGAGGTTCAAGTCCTTTCCGTATCCTGGTTTTTACTCTTTTACAGCTAGATTTTATAATGGTATGATTGGTAATTATTTAATATAGATTTAAAGCTTTCATTTTATTTTCCTAATAAGGGTTTATTAGGAGGGTGCACAAAAGAAAATGTCTGCGCGCGCCAAAAGTTCACCCCCCGAGGCTAACCTTCACTACGCCCCTGTGAATAATATCAATGATAAGTTAAAAAAAAATAAATTCAAGATAAAATCAAAAAAGTTAAAATTTTAAAAACAATTAAAACTTTTCTTATTTCTTATTTTCTTAAAAAAAACATTTAAGTATAATTAACTGATAAAACATAGCAAAGACAAAGAAACAAAAACATTAAAATGGTTGAAATAATTATTTCATAGTTTTGTAGATTAGCTTTTCTAAAGATTTAAAAAATTGACATCTTTTTCCTCTTGAAGTAAAATTATCTTATATGTTCCTTGTTAGCATGTATTTAATATTTATTTAACAGTAATAACAGAGCAAAATAAATCCAGTTTTTTTAACAGATCTTTGTAGTTAATGTAAAATGAATGACTATAATGAAGGATATAAAACAAGGTGAAAGCTAAAAGGTAGGAAATGGAGCCTTTATTTGTTTAGAGTTTGTAATGCCAGAAATTAGTGGAAAATTCAAATCAAACCCAAATACACCAATAATTTGATACATCATGAAATTTTCAGGGGGGGGGGGGGGGAAATTTACCCCCTCCCCCCAACAGAATCCTTATTTATGCCCCTGAATTCGGGAAAAATGAAAATAAAAAACAAACATTCAAACCTGCAAGTTCTAAAATTGAATAAAAGTATTTAGATAAAGATTCTTTTTACCTTAGATATATGATGAATCCTTAATCCTGTTTGTGGTTTATATCTTTCATCTTCCAGTATATTTATCCTAAAAACATTTGACTTCAAGACAGGGGTGTATATTAGTTGTGAGACTCATATTTTTGAATCCAAGTATTTACCAAGTCAGGGTGAAAACTTGGATTACAAAACTCCACTTCAACTCGAATTTAACTCCACTTTTAAACTCCAGTCACCAGCTGGGTGAAATCTGGGTTCATAAACTCGACTTGAACTCGACTTTTTGAATCCCAAATTCTGTGTCAATTTATTCACGAAACCTCAACTGCCCAAAAATGCCAGTGAGAATTTAATATTATTTGATGATTTTTCAAAAGAATTGATATTTAAAAATTTTATACAACTATTTTGGTCAATACAATGTTTCAAAATTTCTATCATTTTGGAGTAAATCAATGTTTTCATTAGAATCAATGTCAGTAATTTCGTGATTTTTTGATAAATAGAAGTTCCACTGAGACGGTCTTGTAAGCTGTAACAGGTATAACAGTAAGTTAATACAGTATAACATATATTGAATATGTAATTGTTAGAGATGTGTGCTGTATGTATGTACGAGTGTTAATTTAGATTATTACAGATGGGGGAATGATGGGGTGAATTTGTGAAGGAGAATACTGGATTGGATTGGTGATGTCTGGATGATATGTGGGTGATATAATCTAAGTATCACCCACATATCATCCAGATATCATCCAGTCGACATCAATTTTTACATACCACCAGCTTGGTGAAAAGTAGAGTTTTCATCCAGATATGGCACGATTATTCCAAGTGAAAACACCACTTGTAAACTCGATTAAAACTCCACTTCTTGAAGGCAAAAGTCGAGTTTTTGTTTGTTGGGTGAAAATAAAACATTGTTATTCTTCTGAATATAATTACAGGATAATGTTTCTAATAAACTGAAACGTACATTTTCAAAATTTCACAGTCTCTTCTAATGTCCGGAAAAACATACCCCCCCCCCCCCGTGCTAAGGATATCACCTAAAATGTGCAAATTAAAAACTTTTTGCTCTTAACTAATCAGAGATTTTTTAACTATGGCTTCAGACTAAAATTAACTGAAAAAAGATTTTTTTGATAAATTCAGTAAATCTTGAAATGTTTAAGACCTGGATCTCAGGGTTTTTTTCTTTAAAAAATTGTTCCCCCCCCCCCCCTCTTGAAAATAATTTATTCCCTCCGAAGTTTTATATGCTTACGCGGAGCGCAAACAATTTTTTAGTGTTTTATTTGCTGAATTGGAAAATAAAAGATTTATCTAGAAAAATAAATGAATTTTAGGGTAAAAAATGAAAAACTTGGTTGTTAATATCCAATTTTAATTTTTCCAAATCATAAAAAATCACTTCTGAAAAATTCTAAAAAATATGCATAACATCCCTGCTTTACCTGAATTGGTTTGTGTTTATGTTAAGACGATTGTGGGGAGGAATAATTATCCTGATATCTCCACTAGAAATCAGAACTCCTTTATGCTTGTCCAAAAATCTAGAAAAATAGAACATTGTAAATATAATAAATGTAACATTAAACTGACTCTGAACACGTAACCTTACATTTATAGAGGGGTCGGATTCACAACGGTATCCTTTAAACCAGCTAAATATTAATTGTTTTCTATTGTGTATTCTCTGTTAATATGATATGCAGACTTGTGCAACAAAACAATGAGGGAAAATATCAGAATTTAACACTTTAAAGAAAATTACGATCTCATAAGAAACTTGTAAATCGGACCCGCCACTCTAGAAATGGAGTGTCACTATCACTTCAAATTACGTTGTTAGTCCCATTTAAACAAGACATTAAATAACATGCAGTCTATTCAATTATAAAGATAAAAGAGAAGCTGACGTCACAACTTGTAAGAAAAGTTTATTACAATATACAAGTACTCTCAACACAAACAGTAAACTTCACAATAAAATAACATTAGTTAAATTTGAATATTTTACCTTGAGAAAAAATGAAAATCTGCGTCTTCTCCCCACTCCTCTTCTTTCCCAGTATTCGCCTCCCCCCCACTCCCTCCCCCCTCATCCCTTTCTCCGGTCTCATCCGACTCCCAGCCGATGTCGCACATTTTCTTCTGCTCCGGCGACGAGTCGGCCGTGCGGATCTCTGTGTCACTGATGTCGCTAGTGGGACTGAGCCTCCTGGCCTGGATAGACTCCCCGCTGTTCCTCTTTGAGGTGGAGAAGGAGGAGATGGAGTTGTTTGAAGAATAATCTTTATATAAGGTTTCTCAAAAACGGAGGAGGCATAACATTTACTTGTCAAATCTGAATTTTGGCAAAAAAAAAACGATAAACAAAATAAAATAGTTTGATAATAATTTTCAAGATAATGAAATATATTAAAAATATTGTCGGCATCATATGGTCATAGTCTTTGTTTTTGAAAACACGCTACCCACGCTCCTTGAGATGTATTCTTTGTGTTCATAATCTCGTATATTTTAACTATATCCAGAATTAAAAGGTTAAAGAAAATATACACCCATGAGCAGATTTTGAGAAACTATTCCTGATGTGGACATTTGGTCGAAGGAGGAGGCCAATGTTTTAACTGGATATTGTCCATGGTCCTGAAAATATGAAATCTATCAAATCTTCCAAAAAGGCGCGTTTTTTAAATAAAAATTAAATCTCTCGGTATAATATCGATGCTGAATTTAAAAGTCTGTAGAACAAACCTAAAAATTCGTTGTTCAGCATTTGTACAGAACATTTGAAATACTTACAGATTAGTTTGATTAAAACAAAAATAGTTTTCTTTAACCTAGTGCTAGCCTATTGAAAAACATGAACATACAATTGAAGAAGATCTTAAAAGATTCGAAATATGGTTAAAAATCCTAGCGAAGGCTTTCGTAATGACAAGACAATATTTTTGATTTAATATTAATTTGCTCTCTAAATTGTGCTTAAATAATTCGTCGCAGTACCGCAGAACAAAGAAGCTATTTATAAAAAGTCTATTAAAATTTTTTAAAGAAGAAAATCTTTTAGATTCGCAGATCTGCTAACTACAAACTTCATAGCTTCAGACATCGATAACAAATATAATTTTCCTAAATATTTAAATTGGTTTAATCGAAATAAATCTTATTATAAAAAATCATGAACTGGACAAGAAGAATAGATAGCACTTTTACGCGGCATTTCCTGTTGATGGATGACTCACCTCTTGTAACCTTGATGCTGCATGCCTGGATCTTGTTACACGCCCAGGTTCAGGCAGATTCTTTATATACCTAAATATGATTTGCATTTGATCAGATTTTTTACTTTCAAGGTTTATTGTTGCTTTTTAGGAGGTCCCACAAAAATCTGAGAAGTTTGACATAATTAAAAATTTCATTCTCTAAAAGTTTGCAAAATTACACTATGCAAAGCGGTGATGTTCACTACAGCACAGGCAGGCTAGTGGGCCGAGTTGAGCGCTGTGATCTAATTATGCCATTGTTGTTGGACCCTAGGTCGTTTTCCCCTTCGACATTTGACCTTGAATCGTTTTCCCCAATGACATTTGACCCCTTTGTCGGTGAATATTTTATTAAAATTATTTGTACTGCATACTGACCTTGAGAGTAAATCATTTGCTCCCTCGGCAGCGGTTTCATCTAGAAATATAAAAATCAATAATAAAAATTCAGGAATTTAAAAATTAATCGAAGTGTTTACAGAGTTTACACTGGACTGTTCGGGGAAAATAAAAAGGGATATAGAAATCATGAGTCACATTGGTGCTATTTTAATTTCGGTGCTTTTTTAAATTCTTCCCTATGTTTCTGTATTGAAAATAAAAAATTAAATTTATTTATTATCCACGGTTTAGCTGTTATTTAATGTCTCCCTATGTAAGAAAATTCTTTAATATATTTTTGAGGAGGGTGGGGGGGGGAGGCTTACCTTGAAATGGTTTTGAGTTTGACTCCAAGGGATCGGGTTCGATCGTCTTCTTTTTCATCATTCTTTTTACAAGATTCTGCCAGGGTTAATCAAATCCATATTCTTCAATCAATCAATCAATCAATCAATCAATTTATGATTCTTGTAGTCTGCCCACGTCACATTCTGATCTGGAAGTTCTATAAAATAAGTGACTGAGAATTTTTAACGTTTTTTCAGCAACAGTTTTTTTGGGGACACTTTTTAAAGGAAATAAAAAATTCTTGAATGACCGGGATTAAGCATATTTTTAAGTTTTATTTTAACATCTTATCCTGCAGAATTAACAGCAAAAACCTAAACTTTAAATTTTTTTCAACGGTCTCAATGGTATTTTACAATTTCAATGGTCATTGGTCGCTAAATTAACCCAACATATTTCAGTAAAATTTGGCTGATTCACAAAGCTGAAATTTTGACCATTCAGGGTTCAACTTTAACAATTTTATTTTAAGCAAGAGTGAAAATCTAATATCAAATAAAATATCACGAAACATTCTAGAATGAATTAAAACAACTGAATGGAATTATCATGGCAAGATAAATTAGGACAATGAAGCTCATTAAAAATTATGGATTAAGATTCATAACAGTTCTTACTATTGCGATGGACATTAGTTTCAAACCACGATTAGGCCCAATTCTAACCATCAATGTCATTAACCCCGTTATGGAACTAATGTCCGCTGTCTTGGCTTAAAAAAAAAAAAAATATCTTGAGTATTGTTTTGCGGCTACTGTTGTGCAAGATCACAAGTTTATGAATGGCATTTTACATTTGTAATTTGGAACAGAAAAAAGATGGAGGATTACGAATATCTTGAAACTACGCCAGCCTTTCTTCTTACTGGGTTCTCATCTGAAAAGTAAAAAAAGTGTAGGAAAAATATTTACATGTCTATAATATGTTGAGATTTTCAGACGATTTGATCTTACACTTGAAAACACAAAAAGTATCCTTTTAAATCTAAAAATATACCTGGCGGAAAAGTATCTAAATGCAAAAACTCCTCCAAGAGCAATAATTGCGAGCCCCAGGGTGAATTTTATATACGCAGAATCCTCTCCTCCTAGTCCCAACTGCTTCAAGTGCCTGATACAAAGAAAACTAATAAGATCTTTTAAATTAAGATTTTTAAAATATTATAATATTCACAACTATAAGAGCTGTAAACTGTGGAATAGAAAAACGTCATATGTATATTTGGTGTTAGGTTAGATCCCCAGCGCAACTTCCCCGAAACATCTTCCCCAACAGCAATTTCCCCAACAGCAATTTCCCCAACAAGCAATTTCCCCAACAACCAATTTCCCCAACAACAATTTCCCCAATCACTAATTTCCCCAACAGCAATTTCCCCAACAACAATTTCCCCATGCAGTAAAACAGCAAAATTCCCAACAACTAATCCCCATGCAGTAAAATATCAAATATTTCCGTTTTTAACATTATTCCAATGAACAAATGCGCAATTTTAAAATAAAAATTCGCAACTTTTTGAATGTGAAAAAATCAGTTGGATTAGAGTCGACAATGTTGGCAGTTTATACACTTTCCTCGAAGAAGAGCAATGTTCTGGTGGATCCCAATAAGTATGAGTACAACTACAATTCCATGGAAAAAATTGATTTCCTGAGCCAAAGCTCGGCCATATATTGAGAATTCAGTTATGTGTAATTTTATATAGTATGTAAAGTTTGTAAAAAATGTTAATATATTTTAATTATTTCATTTTATGCAAGAGTTTTACTTGTTGGGGAAATCAAGAATTTTACTGCATGGGGAAATTGCTGTTGGGAAAATTAGTGACTGGGGAAGTTAGTGTTGGGGAAACTAGCGGCTGGGGAAATTTCTGTTAAGGAAGTTGTGACTGGGGAAATTGTGTTGGGGAAGTTGTGCTGGGGAAATGTCCTACACCGTTATTTAATGATGGTAACAGGCAGGTAGTTTTACAAGTAGCTTGAAATCAACTTATTGGGTGAAATGTGTCTGTGTACACTGTATACATGTACATTAGAACCCATGTACATTAGAACCCATGACAATAAAAAAATGTGATTTTTTTACACTTATTTTTTCACTATGGAAAGAGTAAATAGATTTACAAAAATGTAAAGATTTTTATATTAGACTACATCTATTCTTAAAACAAATAAGCTTTTTTTTGCAAATTGTGTTTTATTGTGCAGGGTGTTCTACATCATATTAGACCGAGAACGGGTCTAAATTACGATTTTCGGGACTAATTAGAAAATTTAATTAGAATTAATCATTTTGAAAAATAATATAAGGCTTATATAAGAATTTTCTTGCGGAAAATGATAAGTTTTTCGAGTATTAAGGGTTTATTTTGGTGTTAAAGATTGGTGATAATCTAATATGATATGGGACGCTCTGTATTAAAAAATTTGATAGTTACAGGGAGGCCAAATTTTTTTTTTTTAAATCCGTACAATTTCAGAACAAATCCGTACAATCCGTACAATTTTTTATGAAAAAATCCGTACAAACCGTACATTTAAGAAAAATGTAACCATTTTTGAAAAAAAAACACATCAAAATTCAATTGTTCATGTGTGAGGGTTTAAACTTCTTCATTAGGATGAGAATAAGAGGAGAAACAAGTAAATTAGTATGAGAATGAGAGAAGAAACAAGTAAATTAGGATGATAATGAGAAGAGAAACAAGTAAATTAGGATGAGAATGAGAGGAGAAACAAGTAAATTAGGATGAGAATGAGAGGGAGAAACAAGTAAATTAGGATGAGAATGAGAGGAGAAACAAGTAAGTTAGGATGAGAATGAGCAGAGAAACAAGTAAATTATTATGAGAATGAGAGGAGAAAAAAGTAAGTTAGGATGAGAAGAGCAGAGAAACAAGTAAATTATGATGAGAATGAGAAGAGAAACAAGTAAATTAGGATGAGAATGAGAGGAGAAACAGGATAAATACAATACACATTTAAAATCTATAATTATGGCATTTAGTCTTTTACTTCTCTTCATTGGGATTGGTTTGTTTGTTTAAGCGTTTTAGAAAAAATCAATGTTCTCGAAAAACTATGAATAAATGTTAATTGTCAATTCGAACAACAATCAACCAACCTAATTAGAATGCGGAAAACAAGTAAATCCAACTTTTTTTGACAAGATTTTCATGTAAATTTGCTGAAATGAGTCAAAAAAGGGGTGAAATGTGTATTTCCAGGCTAAAAATCCGTAAAATCCGTACAATTTTAGGGCTAAAAAATAAAAACCGTACAATCCGTATATTTTGGCCACCCTGTAATTATGCAGATAATTTTTTTAATGAAAATAAATGATGGATGAATAACGATATTATGTTAATCAAACCACAAAATCCTTGTTAAGGGGAAGTTAGTAAAACGTTACAACGTCCAGCTTTGTAACGGGAAAGCTTCTGAAGCTTTTTAATCAATCACTTCCAATCCCATGCTTCTTATACATAAGATGTCTAAGCTGTCAGATACAAAGTTACCCATGATGAATAATACTTTAGAAACGCATGTACAGATTAAACAGAGTTTTATTGCTTTTTGCATGATTCCCCGAAGCTGCAAGCCTATAGATCTCCTTGGAAACATGATATTTTAGCTTTTGCAGAGAACTATCTTATGAAGAAACCAGAACTCAATTGTCATATCGTGGCATGTCAGAAATTCTTGATAGTTTTTAAAGTCTCGCACATAAATAAAAATGTCTAGTAAACCACGCGGTACAAGTGCAATCTTCTCCAACCTTTTAATATCTGGAATCCAGGCCCCTGCCGGGTTCTTCAGAATGAGCGCATGAACCAAGCGCCGCAAATTACTAAAAATGTTTAACAGAATAAGAGAAAATAAGAATAATCACCTTCCTCTGTAGAACAACATCCAAGCAGCCTGGAATCTTCTACGGTAAAAATGTATATTAAAGAAATATAAAATGACAAAAATCACATACAAGAATTCAAAATGGACGCCAGAGTCTAAAACTAGAAAATGCGTGAGTTTTGAATTATTTTAAGCTTCAGCTTAAAGTTTCTGAAAAACAATGATGGGTTGATACTTAAATATTAGCCTTTCTCAATTTAACCCTAAACCCGAATTCGACGAGTTAAATATTCGAGCTTATAAGTTGCGGTTTAGATTAAATCAGAAGTGGTCCGTGGCCGCATTTAAGCTGTAACTTTCCGTTCCTTGGTTTTAGACTCAGTTCGCTCTACATTAATTAATTGGGTTGAACACAATTGTAAAGTAATTTTAAAAATGCTCCATGAAATGGATCTATTGTTTTAATAACAAAGAACATCTTCTAATTAGTATTTCTACGTAGAAAATCTTTTAAGAAGCTTGATGTTTTCGCTTTATTGTTTACTATTTAGTAAGAAAGGTTAACTATTTTTTCAAACATGAATAATCTAAAATATAATTTTGTAAGATTAAAGCTGAAGACGTTTTTTTCATAAGATTAAAATATTCCAGGAAAACACATATTTATTAACTGAATTCTCGTTTAAATGAAGTTTATTCCGAACATGAATGAAATATGTAAAAGATATAAAACTTAGTCAGTGGAAATTGAAGCCACACAAATACAATATTTTTTATATGCTACTTTTTTAATGTCATAATCATCATAATTATCTTTATTACTTTTGTTATCTGTATCATCTTTAGTATTTTTATTATTACTAGAAATTCAAGGCGCTTCGCGCCCTTCTTTCTAGCCTTAGAGGGCGCTTCGCGCCCATCTTCTAAATTAGTTGTGAACATGTTCTCTTTGTGTACACTGTACATCGTAAAACAAAACAAAAAATAATTCGCGGATTTTCACAATATTATTATCATTATTATCATTATTATCATTATTATTATCATTATTATAATTATTATCATTATTATCATTTTTATCATTATTATCATTATTATCATTTTTATCATTATTATCATTATCATAATCATAATCATTATAATTATCATTATTACCACAAAACTCCTTATCATTATCATTATTATTTATTACTTTTACCATTATACTATCATTATTATTAGTACAACCTTTACTATTAGTACTCCGTATTACTATCATACATTATCATTATTATTATTTTTACCTACGGAAAGGCTGCCATAGTAGCCAACTTGACAAATATTATCATTATTATTATCATTATTATCATTATTATTATTATTATTATCATTGTCAATTATAATCATTATTATCATTTTTACTTACGGAAAGGCTGCCATAGTAGCCAACTTGACAAATATTTCTTTACTCTGACTAGATATCGTTGACATCTTCTGTGGAGGTGGAAGCTAAACAAACACTTTTTACTTAATGGCTATTTATAATTAATAATAAGAGAAAAGGTAAAACATATTCAGAAATACTGGTACAACTTTGCAACGTCTAGATTTTATTTTACAGCCAAGTAGACTTGTATGGTAGCATAAAGATTTTTTTTAACTTTAGTTCTTTTCCTTATCTATAGCTCTATAGAAAAAGAGATTAAGCTAGAAACCGGCGATTTTTAACCAAACGTTAAAATAACTTTAGCTTGATATGAACAAAAAGACCATTTTTTAAAAGATTGTAATCTTGACTGGAGCCTTAAACTATTCTGGTTCTGGTCCTGGTTAGACTCTTAGTCCAGTACTAGATTTTATAAGTCGTAGTTCTAGTCCTAGTCCAAGTACTAGTCCAGGTTTAGAACTTATTTTTAGAAATTTTGATTTAAAAATAATAAATAATCTGCTTAGTCCTTTGTAATAATACCTTATGTTTAGCACAGAAAGCTTCAGGTTGAAGAATATAATCTTGTCTCACAACTCCTTTATCACTCTTGTTTCCTACCACTAGCACAGGTAGCTGGGTAGTAGCAAAATATCTCTAGAATATAGTTAATAGTTTTATTCTATTCAAGTAGTTGGGTAGTAGCAAAATATCTCTAGAATATAGTTTATAGTTTTATTCTACTAGCACAGGTAGTTGGGTAGTAGCAAAATATCTCTAGAATATAGTTTATAGTTTTATTCTGCTCAGTTAGTTGGGTAGTAGCAAAATATCTCTAGAATATAGTTAATAGTTTAATTCTGCTTAGCTAGTTGGGTAGTAGCAAAATATCTCTAGAATATGGTTAATAGTTTATTTCTACTCATATGGAGGGTTTTATGAATGAAGATATACACCAAAAACTCTGTGGCTTAGGCTAGATTTCGTTTTATTCCTTCAACAACTGTATTGCACTTTTGAGCCGTAGGGGATGGTGGTACTTATTTGTTTACCAGATATATTCTGGCACAGTATTCAAAGGATCTAGGATTGGATGAATCATACACGAGGCAGATGACGTCACTTCCGGTCTGCTGGGGGGATAGGCTGTCCTGCGCACAGGTTACGTCTAAAACAAGATTTTAAAACTTTTTGTTTTGTAAATGCTTTCCAGACTCCAATTTGACGGTTTATAATAATGAGCTTTTCAACGAATGACTTTTTTCGCAAAAAAGGAACGTAAAACAAAAAAGGATAATCTTGAAAAAAAAAAATTACCATGAGGTTGAATTTTTAATCAAAGAATTTATGTGACCCTCAATTTGAAGAGTTACAGTCCGATTAACAACAGTACCCTTTCAACCTTTATCTGAATAACAATGGGGAAGATACAGTCGTTTTCTATCTTGGAAAATATTTAGAGTTCTGTCAATTTTCTCCCTTGTTTCTGACGCACAAAGTCACAAGTCATTTTTAAAAATGCTCAGTAAAAATTTGAATGGTAACGAAGTGAATAGAGCATAAATCTCTTGAAGTGATGGGTCACTTAAAATTACAAAGACACAACACTGGACGGTTCCTTTTTTCATTCATAGCATCAGAAATATCAGGAAATAGATCTGAAAGCCCCCCCCCCCTATTTGGAGAACCCAGACCGCCATCGGGTGAGCGCTCTCAAATATAAACAATAACACACACTTTTGTAAATGACCTGTATCAATAAGGACTAGATGTTTCTGCTGACCGTACACAGTGACCGTATTGACAGTACAGCTGGGTAGGTCAGAGGGAGGTATACTTAACACGTCGTCTTCCTTCTTACCAAGGAATCTCTAAATAAATATCATGTCAGAAGATATACGGAGGGAGGAGAAATATGGTATATTTTGAATGTATAATATATCTATTTAAAAATTATAACCTGCAGACTTAATAAAACGGATTGATTTATAAAGATGAGAAAACAATCCTTTTTAAATGTAAAAAAATAATTGTTTAACATATTAAATGAAAGTTTTTTCCGTGAAGAAAAAAGGCATACCCTAGATCGTTTCTTAGTTGCGCTCCTATAGTTACACTAAGCTTATGATCCAGCAAAACGTCGTAGATAAAAAGATACAATAAACCATTGTAGCACGACTAAGAAACTGGGCTACGGTTAGAAACTGTTAGACTTTAATACCTGACAGAAGGTCGTCTTCCCCGCGTCCCTGGGGCCCACAACAAGACAAGAATAGACCGATTTACTTGTCTGTCTCTTGGCAACATCACTCTTTTTGTCCTTAAGAACATGTATATGTTGCATACCAGAAAAAAAATAATCTATTGCTGGGAATGGCTACTAAGAAAATTGTTTTTTCTTCTTCAAATTTTAATGCATTTAATTCATAAGAAAAAAATATAATTTTGACTTACTTTCCATTACACTAATAAATGGCAGTCGATTGACCAACACATTGATACTAAAGATTTGGTAAAGGTTGGGTATGTTAAGGGGGTAGACGGAGAATGGTAATCATATCCTAGGTAAGCCAGGAGCTGACAACACTTTTCTAATTAGAAATTGATAAATAAATCAATAGAGGATGATGTAGTGGTATCTGTTGAAAAATGATTTTAATACCTTTTAACCAACATTACCGACCGATGATTCCCCCACCATAGGGACGTTATGTTACTTAAGGTCCCTTGGGACTATTAAGTAAAAAATCGCCCGTTTTGCGAAGTTTTCGTGAAAAAATTCGCGAATTTTGATGCAATCTGAATATTTTTTGAGCAAAATTGGTCTTGGGAACCCTTGGTAAACTAAAATTCACTGAACTTCCTTGTAAAGTAGTTGTAAATAATTTGAGAAAGATTGCGTTCAGCGCCAGCATTTTCGAAAAAATTTCTGTAAGAGAGAACATCCTCCCCCCCCCCCCCCCCAACATTGATTCTTGAAAACTTATGAACCTGGAGATGTTAATGCTGTAAGATGCCATAGAGCCACATATCCAGGTAGTCCTATCCAACCCCGTTCTGTGGTTATAGACTTGAAAAAATTGTTTATTTCATCACAAAAAGGTTAAACATCTTTCCTGTCTATTTTTCGTTCCGAGAAATAGTTAAGAAAAGCTTTAAAGGGACCGTTCACTTATTTGGATCATGATTAACTAAATATCCTAGTAGCTATTCAATGGTATTAGTCTTACTTTCAAAATATATCGATAGAAAGAAATAGTCGATATATCACTTAAAATTCTAGCGCAAAGGTATGATACCTTTACATAAACACTATTTAAACGTTTTTTTTTTGTAGTAGCAGTCCAATAAAATGCATAAATTTTCATATTCCAATGAATCATGTGTCAGCCATTCTATGAAAAATATAAAAACTTTAGATTTTAGAATTAACAAGAAATTAATGTATTTCATGTTCAAACATGATTTAACATGTTTATACTAAGACGACCTTCTCTCTCCTTCAAACTGGTTCCTAGGTTCCAACTCGGGGATTTCTGATGAAGTAGTGAAAACGTATCAATCCCTCAAATGTTTAAATAAGTTATATTTTGAAATTTTTCAAATAACCATGAAAAAAATTAAGGATAAAAAACTATTAGATACTACAGTTTTATCTAATATTTGAAGTTTTTAACCCATGACTATACAACAAGCATCAATAGTGTAAATGCAAAGGTATCATACCTTAACGCTGAAATTCTGAACAAAAATCGGCTATTTCTCCGGACACAGGTGTCTTTGAAAAGTAAGACAAATACCAATGAATGGCTGAGAGGCTATTTAGTTCACCCTCAAATTACCCAAATAAGTGAACGGTCCCTTTATGTAGAGAAGTTATTGTGCATATAAATGAGACAAACTTTTTTGACAAATAATTTTCCCTTTTTTTTAATAGTACAAATGTTTAAAAAAATACAAAAAATTAAATTTGATATATAGACTTGAGGACAGGAGACGTAAATTCAAATGTAGCATGTCCATTGTCCTTGATCATATAGAGATTAAAGAGTACTAATGTTAATGAGACATGCCACTCTACAAATGAAAGGTGACGAGAAATTACGTCTTCAGTCCCTTTAAGCTGAGGTAGAATTTCCTGAAAATCAAGGAAGGTCCTATACCTGGTGGTAGACCTGTGGACCCCAGGGCATACTAGGACATGTAGAGAATAGGTTGACCAGCTCCTGCAGGGACATTAACCATATTCAACAGGGAGGAAAATAAACTTTATCTTCCTGCTTTATATTTATCAGGGATGGTTCATCATAACATTACAAATGTCCCTCCGGCAACACTTATTAATTCTCTCTGTTGAAGATTAGGACGCTATACAAACGCGCTTATGATGAGAATGTATTTTGCAGAGATACTATTGACCACGGGCAGCCGTAGTATATTTGAATTTCCGAGCCAAGTCAACCTTTCCGGTCCCAGTTTGTACTGTACCTAGCTCTATGGACAGGACAAGCCGGTGCAACAAGGTTGACGCGGTCAGACTTTATGCTTCATATAGGTTGAATTTACTTTTACTAAAGGGGCAGAGGTGCGTGTGACGCATAAAAGTGTGACAAATACATCACAACTTTATATAATAAAAGGAAAACCTATCTCTCAACCAATCAAGAAAACCTATCTCTCAACCAATCAAGAGGAAACGAAACTACAGATGTTCAAACTTTACATCTTTTTTTTAACGTAATATACTTCCCATTCAACATGGATAATATTCCCATATACTTCCTTTTTAACATGGATAATATTCTCAAATATGTCGACAAACTCTTAAAATTCTCACTTTATAAAGGAGTTGTATCCCGGCTGTTGGGATAAGAACAAAACAAGGTCTATGGTCCTGCTCAAAACTGTTGCTAAGGGTCAGAATTTTCAAAACTGTTTAGGAAAAATCCGTGAATATGTGATTCCTGTGGAGATAAAGCTTGATCTTTGTCCTTGTCAAACTTACTGAACATCTAAAATGAAATCAAATAAAGCGTAAATCTGAAATGGAGCCCAAAGTAGGACCTCAAGACTACCTCCAGGGAACAGCACCAAACCGTGCAGCTACGGCCTGGAGTCCATAATTTTATATTAAAAATAATTTTCATTTTTTACAGCTTTTAAAATATTGTTAACAAAAGGAGATAAAATGTACGGGGTTTTATTGATGTTCAGTGTGTTAAGTAGTGTTCAGTGTGTTCAGTAACGTTCAGTGTGTTAAGTAGTGTTCGGTGTGTTAAGTAGTGTTCGGTGTGTTGAGTAGTGTTCAGTGTGTTAAGTAGTGTTCAGTGTGTTTAGTAGTGTTCAGTGTGTTAAGTAGTGTTCAGTGTGTTTAGTAGTGTTCAGTGTGTTAAGTAGTGTTCAGTGTGTTTAGTAGTGTTCAGTGTGTTAAGTAGTGTTCAGTGTGTTCAGTAACGTTCAGTGTGTTAAGTAGTGTTCAGTGTGTTCAGTAACGTTCAGTTTATACCTGAAGGAGAAAATCTGTGCCTGCACTAGTAAGCTCTGCTGTACTGCCAGGTACAGGAAGTACAGGCGGTATAAGTACTTCCGGGTCAAGGGTTAAATTATCAGCAAATCCAAACCTATACAATCATGGGTAAATAATTTGCTCAAGAATCATCTCCCGTCCCCTCCTTTCAAACTAATTTTTACTGTTTCTATTGATAACAAATTTTTTTGAGGATATTATAAATGAATATTGGGGTAAAAAGTATTAAAAAATGTCAATTGGAGTTCAACTTTTATTTATTCCATAAAATTATCAAAAATTCCGAAATACACTTATATAACTTAACATCCTGCCATACTAGTAAATTGTGGCAATCACGTTCGTCCTCAAGGCATTATAGAAAACAAATCATAATAAAACTATTATATCCTTACTTTCTGAGTATAGTCCAGGTGGTTTCATGTCTACCCCTCTGTATAAATAAACTATTGAGAGTAATGAAACCCTGAAGAGATAAACCGTCGTTAAGGATTCCATCCGAACTGTTCTTCTGAACAACCGTCTAAATAAAACCATTTAGTTTTTTCTTTATTAATGCAAGGCTGATAGTTAACAATAACTTTTTTTCAGTTTTCAATATCTTTGTGATTAAGACAGGGACTATAGAGTAAACATAACCTTAAAATGGCATGTTCAATTTAAAACGGTACAGTATTAGCCTGATCAAGACTGACTGAGATATCCTTATTTGTAGCGCTGAAAATTAATTGATTATCTTTAATGGTGGTATCCGCATACCTTTAAACTGTCCAGTGTTCCTGTTTCTAAATCCATATTAAAACATTTCCGTTGAAATCTGGCCAGCTCTAGGATTACCAAACATATAGAAATAGGCTTTCAGGGCGCTTCGTGCCTATCTTGTATTTAAACCTTTAATTGTTGCTCTTCATGTGAGCATTTTCTCATGAAACAATGACAAAAAAGTTCACGGATTTAATAATCACTTTTCGCGCATTTTCAATATTTTACAATAACCAAAAACTTTTAGACATTTCAATATTTTGAGCATCCATAAACCTTCCCTGGGTAGGTCCCACACAAAATCTGGGCCCGATAGGTTCAGACGTTTTGACGTTTATTGGTAATAAACAGACAAACAATCATAACAGACAGACAGACAGGCAAGCAAAGGAGGAAAATTATTTTCCCGAAAAATATGCACCCCTCATAAAAAATTAAGTTTAATGTTTGATGCTCCTCCCTGTGTCCGACATAACTCCATCGTTGTCCATATCACATATTTTAAAGATGTAGGAGAGCGCTTTCTTACAAGGATCCGTTAAATCCTTCTCCTAGTGTTAACAAGCAATTCGTAATAGAGAATAATCATATAAAGGTTTGATTTATTATTATTTTTTAATCCTATTGTCATGATATTTCAGATCTTCATGATTTTTCTGAATGTTGATTATCAGATTTTGAAATATTTGAACTTTACCGAAATATAGTTTTAGTTTTCCTTCAATTCATCAAATAAATTTAATTGGATGCGGTTAGCTGCGCGAGTAATTAATTGATTTATTTTAAAACGATGTATTCACGAAGTCTTTAATTTTGAATTAAAATTGAGCTAACTTTGATTGAGCATTGAGTTAGATTGGTTGGTTGTTTGCATGATTTAATAGATTGGTGTTTTAATAGATTGATCAAAATTTGATTTTATTAATTTAATAATTGATTTTATCAATTTAATAATTGATTTTATAAATTTAATAATTGATTTTATTAATTTAATAATTGATTTTATTAATTTAACAATTGATTTTATTAATTTAATAATTGATTTTATTAATTTAACAATTGATTTTATTAATTAAATGAATGATTGATTGATTGATTGATTGCTACCTGATAGTTCCAGAGTGGTGCTGATGGATGAAGAACAGCTTTTTGTGCAAAGTAAAACATTTCACTAAGTCAGATCAAAAGTCAAGAAAAACAAAAAAAGGGTAGAGCAATATTAAAAAAGTCTTTAAAAATCTAATCTTTTTCAAATTAGGATCTTAAATATTACGCTTTAAAAGACCATTTAGTGATCGTTCTTTTTTCTGTAACAAGTTTTTTTCTATATATTTTAAGTCAATTTTTGTCATTTACAAAAGAGAATTGAGCAATATTAAAAACTTTACTATTTTCTTTGTTCGAATAGGATGATAAATGTTAAGATTTAAAAACCTTTTTCATACTCGTTTTAACAATGATATTTCCGGTTTTCTTTTAAAATATCTTCTTTGAAGTTTTGAACGTATTCCTAATATTTTTGAGATTTCTTGCTGAGCACTCGACACAAGTTTCGATCTCTTCGAAGTCGTTCATGATGGGCATAACGGCCTCCATGGTGGAGTAGTCGATCATGTCAACCTTGTTCCCCACCAGGATTACAGGCTTCTTGTGATCCTCACCTAATGTCACCCTAAAATAATTGTTCGACTAAAAAACTTTACAAAAATAAATCAGGAGAGGAGGGGGGGGGGGGGGGGGGATTGCTTGCTATTTTCCTCCCATTTGGTCTGCAAAAAAAAAAAAAAATAAGAAATTAATATTTCTATCAAGAAATTTAAACCTGAGTAATGGTAACCAATGTTCTGTAACACTATCCAGTGTATCGTCATCATCTACAGCATAAACTACACACACTACATCAGCTCTAAAAATTTCATCGTTATTTTGATCTTTTTTTCATTTTGCTAAATGATATATAGTTTGTTTTAAATCTTCATGGCAAAAAAAAACTCTCTAGAACTGAAAAGGGTCAACCCAGACCGAAATATATTTTCAAAAATGTGGAACTAACATCTTTTTTTCTGTGAGGTTTGGAACATCTTTAACACCGAATTTTAAATATATACAGTTTTTTATTGATGTTTAAAGGGATTATTGGCATTATCGAGCCTTAAGAGCTTTTTCTGCTTAAGAATACATGAGATAACCGACATAAAAAACAAGGATATCTTAACCATTATTGATCAGATAAAGGTTTAAAGCGTGCAGTTGCAAATTTTACTTGCCCATATTTAAATGGTTTGTCATTTTAACATACGACGACGACAGCATTTTTATTTAAAATGATCGATGTAACTTAATGAGAAATATNCCTTTCAAGTTCTGCCTCCAGATGTTTATCTGTTTGTTCTATACTGCTATAATCTACTATACATGTCGGAACCTAAGTAAATACAATAAAAAAACTTGAAAAAAAAACTTGATATGAAATGCAAATTAAACTATCAATTTCCCCAAGAAATTTTTATTGGATATTGTTATATTGAAAAATTCTGTTCATCACAAAAATTTTCATTAAAAAATAAAATTTGGGTGATTTTTAAGAAAATCCTTGAGTTTGTATCCGACCTTTTCTGGAGTAAGATCTCCTGGTATTGTAATCTCCTCGGCTCTGGCGGCTACATCAATAGGAAACTCCTCACTAATATACGACAATCAGAGTTTCCGGATTTCTATTACGGGTATATTTCCTTTATATTAACAAAAAAAGCCTTCTTCAGACAAGGGATCCTTTTTTTGTATTGACTGCTTTTTAAGGTTTTAAATGTCGCTGTTGAAACCTAAGTAATTTTGACCAAACGCATTAAATGATAACGTTGACAAGAGAAGAAATGATTTCGACATTTCAACCATTAAAATTGAAAAGTAAGATTGATAGCATATTATGCTTGACAAAGGAATAAAGTGCAATATTTTAAATAAAAGAAGAAATGTTTCTGACATTTCAATCATAAAAATTGAAATAAAAGATTGAAACCATATTATGCCTGACAAAGGGAGAAAAAATAATATATTAAACGAGAGAACAAATTTAAACGAATGATTGAAAGCATGTTATGCCTTACATAGCAATGAAAGTGCAATATTCATAGCATGAGAACAAATATTTCCGCCATTTCTACCCTCAAAATTGAAATGAAGATCGTACGTATATTGTGCCTGACAAGGGAAAGAATGAGCGACGTTTTCCCGACATTTCTATCCCCGATTAAGAGGATTCTCACATCCTCACGGCATTTTTTCATTCTAGCTGAAAAAATAATTTAACAAATTTTTATAGATTTCTTCTGAAAGATTCGCATTTTTTTTCACAAAAATATTACAATTTTTTGCTTTTAACTGCATGGAACCAGGGAAAAATATTTAATATTTTCGGAGAGCGAAAAATTTGTTTTTTTTTCGTTAAAAAAACAAAAAACAAGTTAAACTAATTAAATTCAGAGTATTAAAATCTAGCAAAAACATAAAAAAAGATTTATTCATGACGTTGCCTGTTCAGCATTAAGTGGTTCACACATTTTAAGAGAGTTAACTATGTTGAATTCAGCGACCATTTTTAATCTGAAATGCAGAAACAATTTTATATATTTCAAGAATAACTTCTTTCCCGTCTATGTTTTGTTTTTCCTTCTATTCTTCTTTCATCTCTTCTGTCACTTGTTCTCTTCATATCTCGAGACCTGGATCGATCTTTGTGTTCTCGTTTTTTATCCACAGATCTTCGCCTCTCTCGGGATCTTTCACGGACATCACGTCGTTTATCCTTTAAGTCTCTTGATCGTGATCGCTGTCGAACACGATCATTAGATCGTTGATAATCTTTATCTCTGTAATCTTTAGACCTGGACCGTCGGCGGTCTTTTGACTTTTCTACATTCTCCTTTTCCCGTCGCCGATCAGGTTCAGGCCTACGATCCCTGGATCGTTCGCGGATCTGAGATCTATGTTTTACATAGCGTTCCCGAGAGTGTGCACGTGCAGGCCGCCGAGAGGGAGAAGTTTGTCGCCTTTTCTGTATTTCATTCTTTAAATCCCCCCCTCCCTTCTTCTCATCCATAACCTCCAGCCGACCCTTACCCTTCCACCTGTACTTCGACACACTCTGGGAGAAGTCCACGTGAATCCTTCTGTCGTCAATGAGGACGTTGTCCATCTTAAAGTAAGCCTGCTCGCAGGAGGCCTGGTTGTCAAACTCGACGAAAGCGTACTGTAGGGAGTCTCCTGTCTTCTTGTCTCTGATCACCTCACAGCAGACAATCTTCCCAAACCTGAACAGAAACTTGTACTTTCAAGGGATAAAAAGCAAAACAAAGTTAAATTTATTCCACAGCATACAATTTTTAGTCAAAGAAATAAGCATTAAAAAAAATTGAAAGCCCAATTCTATTTATAAGATAAAAAGAAAATGTCTACCATATCAATGATCTATATAAATTTAGCTCGTCTGTCTGTCTCTTTGTTTGTATCCAATACACGTCAAAACGGCCGAACCAATCGGGCCCAAATTTTGTGCGGGGCCTCAAGTAACCTCGGGAAAACCCTTCCCTGATGAATGATCAAAATTTTAAAAGTTTTGAAAATGCATGAAAAAGTATTATGAAATCAGCAAACTTTTTTGTTTTTGTTTTATACTGTACAAAGAGCAGATTACTCAGAGATAAAGCCACAATTTAAAGTTATAATATAAGATGGGCGCAAAGCGCCCTAAAAGACTAGTTACAAATATTTTTTAACCTTGAGAAGATGATTTCTAGATCGTCATCATTAGTGACAGGATTGAGCTTACAGACAAACAGAACGTTCTCGGGTGGAGCAACATTAGCGTCAGGAAGGTCTCCAACCATCTCCAGTATGGTAGCTCTAGCGTTAGCTTCCTAGAATATTAGAAATGTTACGTTTCAATTTTAACGGAACTTATCTTAAGTTTTTAAATTATAAACGAATGAATGGTTCTTAAATTATAAATGAATGCTCAAAAAGGAAACTTATTTAGAGCAAATGTATTTTTTAAATTGTCAAAATGTTTTTTTTATACAGAGTCCTACATACTGGACTGTTTCGATCTTTAAAAAAAGACCCGAAAATTTCAACTTATAAGTAAATTCCAGTTGCTAATTAATAATGTTAAAATATGTAGTTTAGAGTTTTTTTATTTAAGGGTTTCTTTTTATCACCTTTGTCGCGATGAGCTCGTTGATCTCCTCCTCCGTCTTCCCGGCGTAGTCGTTGATGTCCTCATCAGCACCTATCCTTGAGCTAGCCAACATTTCCTACACAATCAATCAATCAATCAGTCAAAAAAAAAATCAATATCAATCTATTTATCGAATGGCTATTTCAAGAATATGAAAGAATTTCCAGAAACTTCCAGTAAACATAAAATAATCAAAAATAGTTAATCAATAAATCAATAAATCCCGTGGTTCTAATAGTTACTTGAGTAGGTTCTGGAGAATGATCCCGTGGTTCTAATAGTTACCTGAGTAGGTTCTGGAGAATGATCCAGTGGTTCTAATAGTTACCTGAGTAGGTTCTGGAGAATGATCCCGTGGTTCTAATAGTTACCTGAGTAGGTTCTGGAGAATGATCCCGTGGTTCTAATAGTTACCTGAGTAGGTTCTGGAGAATGATCTCGTGGTTCTAAAAGTTACCTGAGTAGGTTCTGGAGAATGATCCCGTGGTTCTAATAGTTACCTGAGTAGGTTCTGGAGAATGATCCCGTGGTTCTAGTCCTGGAGGATCATCGAATGGATCATGAAGGATAACGGTGTGTGTTACTCGAATATCCTGAGACAAACAGTTTTATAAAAGGGGTTGTTCAGATAATTGAAAGTTATTAAAAGTACCAATTATCTACCAGAAGATTATTAAAACTACCAATTATCTACCAGAAGATTATTAAAAGTACCAATTATCTACCAGAAGATTATTTTCTAATCGTTTCAAAATGTCCGCTCCTCTTAAAGATTCCAAGGAGATTCAAGAGGGGGGGGGGGGATGAATTTTCCAGAAAATAAATACCCCTGCAATTTTTACCTGGTAGGGTCTGTTAGAAAGATCACAAATAGTATTGTTAAGTTTCTCCAGAGTTTCCCAGCCCTCTACTACTTCTCCAAACACACAGTGCTCCCCATCCAGATAAGTTAACTCCTCACCTAGAATATTATCATTTAATAAATAATTAGCATGGAAACTGTACTTTCACTAAAAAAGTGAACCCACTGAATCTTAAAACCCAGCTAACAAAACTCCTATGTTTCTTCCCGAGTTCCCCGATCAAAATTTATGGGAAATCTGTTAAGGGGTTCCTGAGATATGATCGGACATACAAACAAAACAGAGGTTACTATTTTAAATTTATCTGTTGTATAATAACGCTCTTTGCTCATATAAATTGTTTGTAAATATGTTAGCTGTAGCTGGCAAAACGGCTGGACCGAATGGGCTGATTTTTTGGAGAGAACCCAGTGGTGCCCTGGGAGTAACAAAGGCTGAAAAATCGATTTTTTTTCCAAATTCCACGGGCAACGCCGGGCACTTTAGCTAGTCTTCCATATAATAAAGCTCTTAGCTCATATATATATATATTTGTATATTTGTTACCTACAGCTGGCAAAACGGCTGGACAAAATGGGTTGTTTTATTTTTTTAAATTCGATTTAAAACGGATAACTTCGGGCAATTCAGCTAGTTTCTATTTAACATAGTTAACAAAATTAAGAAAATTTTCCAAAATTAAGATTTTAAAGAAAATATTTTTGAAATCACGAAGTTTTTTTTTTCCGAAAGCTGAACTATAATAAAACCCGGATAAAAATAAAAAAACAGACTTCTAAGACTTCTATTTTACCTGCTGCACAAACCTAAAAATAACATTAAAATACGGACGAATCAAATCTAAAAAATGTTACAAAAAAACCTTAAATTGTGGGATTTGAAAGAAATATTTACTAACCTAAAGTAAAGAAGAACTGTGAGCCGAGCATACTGTCCCCGCAGTTCACCATTGAGATCAGGCCTCGCTTTGTGTGCTTTATCCTCGGATTTGTTTCAGCCTCGTAAAATCTGAAAGCATAAAACGTAAAATTATTTTAAAATTAACATTAACTAGAAGTTGCATCATTTGTCAAAATGGTCGACTTTTCAAGACTTTTCTAATTGGATTTTTTTCGCCAAAAGTTCTTTTTCTTCCTCGCTGATAAAGTCGTCTTGACTTAATGACCGTAAACCTCTCCTAATATTCCCTACCTGGCGTGTTGACCGCAAACCTCTCCTAATATTCCCTACCTGGCGTGTTGACCATAATCCTCACTTATTATTCCCTACCTAACTTGTTGACCATAATCCTCACTTAATATTCCCTACCTGGATTGCTGACCTTAAACATCTCTCAATATTTTCTACCTGGCTTGTTGACCGTAAACCTCTCCAAATATTGATTCCCCACCTCGACCTGTCCCTGTTGGGTCACCAGTCTAAAAATATTTATTTATCATAAAACGTTTAATGCCTTTTTATTTCAATCAATTTTTTTTCACTGGCAACGCCGGGCCTTTCAGTTATTTATTATATAAATCTATACTTAAATACATAACGAGCTTGATAACCCAGCATTGAGCAGGGTACTAAATTATAAATTACGATTTTAGCTATTTTTTCTGTTAAAGTGAACCCACTTAACTAATAATCTCAAAACTATACTGAGAACATTCCAGTGGTACTCCCGAAAAATTTGAGGCAAATCGGTCAAGGGGTTCATGAGTAATGATCGGACATATAAACAGAAATTACAACTTTATATATATAAATAACAATATTTATCCATATTATTATTTAGCAACTTGCAAGATGTCAAGGAATAGCGAGATGAATGGTTTCATTCATTTTTTATTCATTTCTCATAAATCAAAATGTAAAAAAGAATTTACCTGTGCAATAAAGTTTGATTGAACCATGTGAAAAAGATTCATGTTGTATCGTTTCTGTTTACACAGTTTAATAAAGTTTAAACATGACTTCGGTCTTTCCTAAACAAATTAATGGTGTTGAATTAATTTTCAATTCTCTACATAATAAATACAATTACAAAATATCGTATGATTGTATTTGATGTATGCATTTTCAACAATAAATAGATTTTAATAATAATAATAATATATACAAAATATTTAGCACCAAAAATTAACACTATTTATTATAAAAACAGATATATTAATTGATAAAACTTCTATTTACACTTTGTAAACATTTGTGGTGCGACTAGGGAGAGAGAGAAGCCTTTATCTCATTCAATAACATTTCTTTAAATTGTCCTTCGGGCCTCCTAACAAGTTAATACTTATATAAGTTAGAGGAGAGGGTAGAATAACTGATTTTTAATTCTCTTACCGCGATCTTCAAGCATCAAATGTATTTTATTAAGGATAGGTTAAACTAGAGAAATATCTTGTTAAATCTAACCTTTGTATATAAGTCTACGGTAAGATCACCAATAGTGGTTTCAATTACGACTGACATCTTTCTGAAACAACAGAAATATATGACTTTTACTTTGTGTTATCATTTAACCAAAAATGCATAGCAGTCAAATATGCGCCACATCTTTTTACTCAATCATCGCATTAAGTGAAGAGCTTTTTTTTTGACCTTTTGCAATATATCTTATGGTTTAGAATGCCACATAAAATAGTAATTTTAATCTGTTATGTTGTGCATTTTTAAAAAAAATATGGATTTGAATATTAAAAATTAAACTAGCTTTACTTCTTCGCTATATATAATACATCATTTGCCACCAAGTTAAAGAACAGGACTCAACAACTTCCAACTTAGGACTCATCTACAGATCCCGGTATTCTTTGAACCATCCTAAGTTAATAACATTTTGGGTTCGGCCTAGTACACGATTTTTGAACCCCCCCCNAGGATTACTGTTTTCTCAATTGACAGTTTCATATACACTCCTTTACAGAACCTTGACACCTCCTTCAGCATGCGTTCCATTCCTCTAACCCTTGTCCTTGAGATCAGGACCAAGTCGTCCGCAAAAAATAATGCCGATATCACTTGTCCATTGAAGTTTACACCTTCCTTCATGGCATGTAGACTCTCTCCAAGCCCTGCCATGTAGAGCGCGAAAAGTAGGGGTGATAATCCGCACCCTTGTTTAACGCCTTTGGTGAACCAGAGTGGCGCCGTCAAGCCTCCTTTTATCCTTACTCTTACACTGTCATTATAGTACATAGATTGAATAAGTGACTTAACTCTTCCACCAAATCCAATGGTGTCCAGCTTAGTGTAAAGCAGTTCGCGGTTTACTGAATCATATGCCTTTGCAATGTCACAAAAAGCTATGGTCACTGTGTGCCCCTTCCTTTTTGCCTTCCTAACTGCTGCCAACAACATAAACACACAGTCTGATGTTGACCGGCCTGACCGGAACCCATACTGCACTTTACCATAGTACCCATTCTCCTCACAGATTCTGTCCATTCTCCCATGCATGATTTTCGTGATTACACTCAAGATCACACATGACACCGTCAATGGACGCTTTTGTGTGTATTATTTCAGGGTTAGGTAAGGACTAGGTAAAGACAATTTCTGGGCCGAGCAGTGCGGCTAGGACAAGCTAGGGGCCAAGCGCTGGGGCCAGAACGGAACAATTTTCAACAAAATTAGTATATATTTAGGGTAAGGTTAGGTTAAGACATGATTCTTAGACATGATGTCAAGTCTGTCAAGTAACAATTCCTAATCGGGCAGGACAAATGTTTTTCAGAGAAATCCTACTTCACTTTGTGGATGTGGAGGTGCAGAGGAACCCCATCAAGAACACCGCAGTGGAGAAGAGTCTCAAAAAAATCAACATATCAAAAACTTCATCATCAAGTTTTTTTTCTCATATCCTGATTTTTTTCCATTTACCCACCTTATCCTTTGTAAATTCTTTTTTCGACTTAGAGACTTGATGAGAGTGCCGGCATTTTGAGAATTTAATTTCTTCCATTGTCAAAATCATCTATTCTAACTCAAAAGTCGCTCTTTAGTGTTATTTGTCAGTTTTCGACAGACTTAATTTTCATGGTTTTGTCTAACTACTTACCATATCCTTAGAATACAGGGCCGGTATTTTGAGATTTCAAGTTCATTTATTCGTCAAAATCGGCGAATTCTTCTGAACATTTTCATCTATTCACACTTAAATGGTATACGCTGTAAGTTTTCATTTTTCGATTTAGAGGCTTAATTTTTCTATTTTTGTCTGGCTACTTACCCTATCCTTTGATGAGAGTGCCGGCATTTTGAAAGTTCAAGTTCACCTTTGTCAAAATCGACGAAAAATTTAGAATTTTCATCAAAACAGGAAAAATTAAGCATTTAAGTCGGAAAATGAAACCTTACATTTTGACGATTGACGAATACGAACTATCAAAATGCCGAAAAGATTTCAAGGGATAAGGTAAGTAGCTAGACAAAAACAGAACTCTCATAGTCGAAATACAAAGGGTAAAAAATTCAGAATATAAGTAAAAAACAGATGATTAAGTTCTTGATATTTTGATTTTCGGTGACTCTCTTCTCCACAGCAGTTTTCTTGATGGGGTTCCTCAGCGCGTCCAATTCCATATAGTAAAGTAGTATAACTCTGAAATGCATTTATCCTGAGCATTAGTAACACTTCATTGAAATTGGCTAAAAGGAATTGGATTTTTCAAGATGACCAAAAATAAAGGTGCTCAAAATGGTTCTACCAGAAAAAGTAATATCTTAAAGATTTGATTTAAATCAAATACTAAGCATCCAGAAGAACTTTCAAGGAAGAGTCGCAAGATTTTAAGGCATATTTCCGCAAACCGGCAAACTTACATGGCAACCAATAATATTTTCCAATCATAACATAAAATCATAATATTCAAAGACCATAAAAATCATTTCTCGTCAAAAGAGTGCATTTTAATGGAATTAGAACACCATTAAAAATATGATCTCGACCCATTTTCAGTAAAAGTAAATTTTGACCTCTAGAGGAGGTCATGAATAGTTGGAGGTCAACTACTCAACTACTGATACGGTGTAATACCATTCTTTTACAAAAAAGGATCCTTCAACTGAAATCAAATCAAAACTAAACATGACATTATACATAGTCTTAACAGATCTTGAAGAGGTCAAACCGTAGGTCGGATATCTGTGTTTATGTTGGTACATGTTTTATTTGTTTGCTGCTATATTCCTTGAGAACGATTTTTGGACCCCCCCCCCAGGCCCCCCTCCTATCAATTGTGTACATGGATCTTAAAGAAAGTGTCTTAACTTAACCTAACCCGTGGCCGCAGCGCTCGGCCCCCTAGCCTGTCCTAGCCGCAGCGCTCGGCCCAGAAAGTGTC